TCGAGGGCAGAACTGGGATACGCAGAGGGAAGAGGCAGGTTTAGATGTTGTTGGGAAAAACTTTTTTTTTTTAACGATTCATAGCTGTCTTAAAGTGGAATGCACTGCCTTGAGAGGTGGTTAATTTGACTTGGTGGAAGGTCTGCAAGTAAATCGTCAAACCCTTAGACACTCCCTAGTCGTATGATCCTAGGCAAGCCATCTGACCTCTTTGTGCCTCAGTTTCTTCATCTGTGAAATGAGGAAGTTGGAGTCAATAGGTTTTAAGGTCCCTTCGAGCTCTAAATATGTGACCCAATGAGGGTGTTTCCTATTCAGGAATAAGATGGGTTAGATAGCCATTGACGTCCCTGCCAACTCTGAGCTAGTCCTATCTTACCTATGTATTGTCATCTCCCTCTGCTCTCCAGCATTGGCCAACTGGTCCAGTCAGGCTCATTCCCTCTCTGTGCCCTCGATTCCCATTATCATCTTGTTTCTGCTCATGGAGTTTCTCAGCCCTCTCATCACCTGGCTCTTCTTCCCTTCCTGGGGCTCCTTCCCTTCATCACTTTACAGTGCTCTTAGTTTCATGGACCCGTAAGCCAGAGATGTGGAAGCCAGAACTTTCTCACGTTGCTGCTTAGCAACACCAGGTAACTTTGGTCTGGTTGGGGCCTTGAGCGTGGGGACGACTCTGAGTCTCGGAGCCATCAGGGAGCAGGAAAACCCCTGTGGCTAAGCTTGTGATGCTCAGCTATTCTTTGGGTCAACCTTAGCTATAGGCCATAGGCTGGATAAAAATGTATGCTTTGGGAGCTTGTTACCTAGAATGGTTTGGCTGGAGAGACTCTTCTCTCCATCATCATCAAAATCATAGAACTAGAGCTGGGAGGGACCTTGGAGTCAAACCAGTCTTCTTACAGAAAAGGAAACTGAGGCCCATGGAGGCCCATGTTCTACCCAGGATCACAAAAGTGGCAGATAGCAGTGTTGGGATTTGAACTCAGGTCCTCTTACTCCAGTTCCAATGTACTTTCTGCTGACCCTGACAGCTGCCTCCCATTACCTCCTCTTCCTTGATGACATTTATGTAGTGCTGTAGGTTTGAAGAGTATACAGTGTAAATATGCCATCTGAGCCTCAGACTGGCCCCATGATATATTGGTGCAGTGGGTATTCTTGTCCCAATTTTATAGATGAGGAAACTGAGACTCAAAGAAGGTTGTGTCAACTAATAAGTGTCAGAAGTGGGATTCTAAGTCAGAATCAAAGAATGTCAGGGTCAGAAGAGACCTCAGGGGCTTATGTAGTCCAAACTGTAATCCAAGAAGAATCCCCCCTACAACATACATCACAAGGGGTGGTTCAGCCTTTGTTTGGAATCACCCATTAAGGAGGAAAGTAGTACCTTTCTAGGCCACCCAAATCCAAGCACCATACTTCCTCTTCCCCTGTTCTGCATTTGCCCCTCTGTGAACCAGCTGGGACTTCTGGCCTTAGCAATCCATCTGGGCTGATGCCAGGAAAAGCTTCCTTGGACTGGGCCAGGGAGCAGGCAAGTGCTAATCGGACAGCTCCTACAGCAGCCCTGTTCCTCCTTCCTTCTCTTTCCTGCTTGGGAAATTTCCTGGTCTCTCTGGTCATTGCTGCCCTCGGCTGACTTGGCGACTTCTTGGGGATCAGGCCCAACACTTTTCTGTGGATCAATGCTAGGCAAATGGTGAAGTGGGTCATGTTTTTTATCTGTATTATTCTCCTGGTCTTTCCTGGTGTTTCACAAACTACTGGGAAGGAGGCAGTCTATTGTTTCAATGCCCTCATACTGTCCTTTCTCAAACACACAGGAGACTTGAAATTTAGCTCCTCTGAGTGCTGCCTCCTGGAAGGGACCTCAGTACAGGTTATGCCAGAGCTCAGAGGGTCTTGGAACAGAGGATCCCAGAACTCAGAGGGGCTTAGAACAGAGGATGCCAGAGCTCGGAGGGGCTTAGAACA